CAAATCCATGAAGTCACTGACATCTGAAATTAGCCATGATGTAAGTGTAGACCACCTAGTTGAAGCCCACGAGACGATAGTAACCGATGGTTAGAGATCTTGAACGACATAGCTCAAAATCGTTTGCAATGGCCCAGGTGCATCCACTTTTTGTGTTCTCTCGAATTCTAATCTTCTGAATTCTTTGTCACCTCTATCTTTCTCTTTTTAAATTTATTTCACTGAATTATACTTCTTGAGTAATTTCTTCAAACTCCAATCTTCTCAACTACCGTTAATACTTCTACTATCTATACCACTACAGGATTTGAACTGACAATCGCGTCTCTGTGCTAATGTGGTATGACACCTTGAATCGATGCACTTACGTACGAATTTCTACGTTGTAACTCACTGACTGACTGAAATTTCGTCTTCAAAAAAAGCTAAGAATAAAAGCCAACACATAGTAATCAATGTTTGGACATTAAGGCAACATTACTAATGGTAATTTTAAACGTTGGGTAATACTGGTAGTCACAGTTTAACAGTGGGATACAACTATGCAATTCACATAATTTCATGTAATGATACACAAATCTTAATTTATGCATGATACATATACATACTGCAATAACTAAGTATACTAAAGCATGTAAATAAAAAAATTCCTTTAATTACCACCACATATTAATTTGTCTGTTTATTTATTCCTTCACCTAATTACATAATCAACATATTAAACTAGGTCAAACACCTCAGTAACAAGAGAAACAAAGACAGTTTAATCTACATGGAAAAGCATAAATAGTTAAGTTCAAGGTTAATCATTATTAATTTTTATGTAATTGCTTTTAGTGTTCGTGTAACGACACTAGACAGTCTGTAGAATACTAAAATCACTTGTCCGATTTGCAAAGATTATCAAATAAACTATAAAGTCAACTTTTACACAATAGTAGAGTGAATAGTAAGTGGAATACCAAAAATTGTGAATGGAAATATGTATACAAATTTATTCCCCAACATATCAAGCTGATGAAAAGACGTAAAATTTCTAACTGGGGGTAGAGATATAAAATTTATTATGCAGTTTGAAAGCACTGATACTATCTAATCATTAAAAGGAAAACATGAAGAAGCAAAAAATGTTTCGCTCTAAAGAAGTAGACCCAAAACCTTCAGTTGGATCCCGTTAGAGACCGAAAATCTTACTCCGGAACTAGTTAACTCCATGATTTCCCCTTAAAGAATTTTTTTTTCAATCCTCTACGACTACAAATATAAAAATAAGAATATACATATTGTTTCCTAGATTATCGTTCAAAAATCGGATGGTAAAGTTTTCAGCATACTTATTCGATGCTAGAAGTGATGAGTGTTAAACTTAAAGTATAGAAATAATTTTAAGGTCTGTTGATTTCGAATATAACATGAGAATAGATTATCAGGATGAAATCTAGTATAAGCGAATTATTTTTAGATATCTTACCTAAAGAATTTTGGAGTTCAAGCTATAGTAAATACGTATTTGAGCTACCACAAATAAATGAATATTAAGTTGTCTGGTCACCGATTGGCTAAACACATATACGGAAATCAAAGTGTCTTTAAATTATTCAGCTATACTAAACTTATTCGAAAGTAATCGAATGCACATATGTGTTTATTTACTGAAATCATAATTTTGATTGTTTTAACGTTCTTTGTAATAAATAGTTTGATTGGAATATTTTTAAAATGACTTTACAATAAAGATATTTTATTACAGTTATAACTTAATTAAATTTTAGTGTCAGTTAATTTAAAAACAAGTGAATTCCATAGGGGATTTTTAACTTAAATGCGTCAGAATAACGTGGTGTTGTGCTTTCGTCGTGCATACATACCTACCTACCTACCTAAAAACAATAATCTACTGGATTGATTGTCATAATATTAAAAAAATTAGGTAGAATTTTGATAACAGCAATACCACTACTACTAGTAATAGTTTGGATAATCATAGTGAGAAATACAGAACAGACAAATACACTGAAAAAGAGAATATATTAAAAAAATCCCTTTTTTTAAAATTCAATAGCCATAAAGGGTAAGCAGATCAATATTTCCCGCTGACGCATAAATGATTCATTGATTTTTTATTCACTTACTAGATGTTCCACATTACAGACACATCCTGTCAAGGTCATATGCGTCTGTCCTTTAATAGATTTCTCACTAGCTATCCCTATATTCATTCAGAATAGGCTAAAATAATAAATGAGGCCGAATTGGTAAGAATTCATGCTAGTTCGTAGTTTCGCATTAGTTGCTTACAATCATATATGTAATAAAGTGTAGCATTGACGTATGATATGACACGAAGTAATTGACATTGATTAGGCAAAGGAATAAATTAACCTAGATTAATCATAGTAACTATGTGTATATATTTATGCGTGAAAAAGATACAGGTTCTTTAAAGTTAGAGTTCAAATAAAAAATAAGGAAGTAGATAATGATTGAATGAATCCCGGAAACAGACGAGATGGGTTATGTGGTAATCATAGAGACTATGAAAAGTTGTCTAGACTTAGTGATTACAAGGTTGCGTAATAAGCGAGTAGAAGATAAGTTAACATAAGTTTCGAGAAACGAATGGATGAAAAGATGATATCGGTTCACAAAAAATAAGAGTTAGGTTTCGTGAATATTGCATTACAAACATAACAAACAATAATAATGATATAGAGTAAAGTTTGAGGAAAAAATTACTGAAGAAGCGATAAGTTGATTACCGTCTCCCTACGAACACATAAATCCAGTTTAAACTTCTTAACTGCTACTGCTTCGGCAACCCGAGGAGACAATGTGCTTTTTTGTCTGTTGAGAATTTGGAAAGATTAGAAAATACCAACGATCAGTTAAATACCGAGCTATTAAAACTATTTAGAGACTTCGCACCTCTGTCTTAAATAACCGGAAGCATGCTCGGCAGCGAGAACATGTACTCTTCTCTCTATTTTTCCAATGTATGTGCTTTGGCATGTACATGTAAATTAGGGCGCATTGCTGCCGGCTGATGTGTAACTAGAACAAAACGGTTATCTTTGTGTTCTTTTGACTATTTTTCTCCTCTCTCTCTCTCTCTCTGTCACTTTACTTATCAGACATGTTACGTAACTTTATCATGAAAATATCTCACAGAAAAAATGATGGCAGATCTAATTAAATGTTAATCTCTTTTCTATCTACTTAATGGTCATTTTCAAACATGGAATTTATCTAAAGGTAGTTATTTTTCCCCTAGAACTAGGTTTGATATTTTATTATTTCCTAAAACGAGAAAAGAATAAACAAGTACATCTTTTCTTTTTTTATTTCTTTGAACAAAAAATCAATGTGAAAGTATTAAAAGATAAAACAGAATGAAAGAAGAAAGAAAAAAAGTCAACTCGTCTTTATCAATAGATAAATAATCTGTCTATGTGCCAATTTAAAAACTGAGACATGTTTATTCTAGGTTCTTTTATATGATCGATTAGCAAGCTCACTAAGAAACACTATTCTAAATCACTCATTACATGTCAACTTAAATAAATATAGACAAATACACACACACACACAATGGTCATTACATAAAATTTCCGTCTAATTTGTTAAAGACATAAAATATATACTAAAGAAAAAAATTAAACATGAAAAGTGCATTCAAAGACACATTACAATAATTCAAATATGTTATCAGGGTAAAAAAAAATGACCACATTGATTGATAAATTCAAATTGAATAAACAATGAATATTATATAATGAATTATCGCACAATAAGATGATATGAAGGAAACTATTAAGGATTAGTATAAATAACTATATTTAAAGAATGAGTGAAGTTCAATCGCATTTTACCGGGAAGATAATCATTACCGAAAATAATGGATGATATATATATATATATATATATATATATATATATATATATAAAGGAAGTTGGATTAGAGTTGGTCTTTGAGACCTGAGAGCGTGACCGCAGAGCCCGAGGGACAACTGCTTGAGGTCTGTGTTAGCTCCGTTCTTCGAAAGGCCTCAACGCTAGACACGGAAATACGTGGGTTAAGATGAGCTGTGACATTTTTAAGGTCAGCCTTTTTTTAACCCCTTCCTTTCGTCATGAAGGGGCAGTATTGCTTCAGATGCTGGTTGTCTGTGAGAAACACCTTACTGCTGTCACAGCCCTCTAAAGTTAGCAGTACGACTTCGTCCTCGGACAGTGAGTTGCTGCTTCTAGTCTTACTATTCTATTATCTACATATACATATCATTTTACAAATTATCCAAGATAATAATAATAGATGACGTCTTCATTTTGTTGAGACACCACTACCGTCACACCTCAGCCAGCCAACATTAGCAACATAAGTCGATTTAAACAATTATATAAATATATATATCTTTTGAAAGTAATTGAGCAAAGTTCCATACGAGAATAATAGTATGCTCTTTCATTTCAAAACTGTGGAAACTGTTTATTTTCAGTAAAATCATAGAGCCGGTATTCAAAGGTTAAGCATTCGCTCACGAGATCGAAGGTTTTGGGTTCGATTTCCGCGTGCTGATGTCGTGGATATGTACTGCTAATGAGTTCCATACAAGAACATAAAGGCTGACATGTGAAGAATTTAACAGTACATCACTGATAGGATAAACAACAGTGTAAGGTAGTTAGTTGTTAAACAATTAAGATTTTATTGACAAATTAGACTGAAAAGTTATTCTTAGTTTTGAAATTCTAATGAACAAAAACTTGATGTGTGATTAATATCTTGAATTCCTGAAAATTATATATTCAATTAGGTCGGTTAGTGGATTAGTAAATTGAAAACGAATTTGTATAAATTTTTAAAGATGGCTTGTAGGAGTGAATTGCGAGCGAAATTACTACAGTCATTTCAGTAATTTCAAAAACTCAATTATACATTTTAAAAAATGTGGGCAGACAAACTATATCATTAGTAATACAAAATAGTAAAAACAATTTACATTAGGTATAATTGAATCCAAGTCTGGAGAAGCATCTGGTCCAGAGGTGACAAAAATATTCGAACTCATAAACGTTTCAGATTTTGCAAGTGTAGAGAAATTATGCGGAATAGATGATAGGTCTGGTACACAGAAATAACCAGCCCATAGCATCCTCGGTCGTTTACACTGACTTTGGTCAACTGATTGAGAACATGCAGTATCTGTCGAAAGATAAATAAATGAATAGTTTAATACAGTATTAAAATAAATCACTGTAGGATAGGATAAACTTTTTCAAAAATGAAAAGATTTGCAATGAATAGATTAGGTGAGGTTCAAGGGAGACTTTGTCTTGTTTGGAACCCGTCAGCTGGATGCATATCACAGTGTTGGCTTCCACACTGAGAATCGAACTCAAATGTCAACATAATTATCATATCCGTTGGGCAAATGAGTAGTTATGTAGACTAAGCTTAGTGAATAAGTCGTTATGAGTTCGAAACAAAAGTTATTGGGTTCGAGTCCCGGTGTGGACATCAACATTAGTGTGCAGGTGATTTCCAAATGACACTTCAAAACACACATTATCAATCCTACTACGGCAAGTTACCACTTATCTGTTCTATCCAAACTTGTGCCATAATAACTAAATTGAGGTAATTCCCAAGGGATGCACATGCCAAAAAAATGACTGATCAAAATTCAACCAAGGATATTTAATAATGGGATATTTCAAATATTTTCTTTACTAATAAAATAATTTTGTACCGAGGTCAAAAATATTCTCTGTACGCTATTCACTTGTAGGATTAATTTTGAATAGAAACAAAATTAAAAAGGAGGAAAAATGATGGAAAATTTTTTAAATTGATCTTAAAGTAAACAAAAAAACAAGCAAGTTGGAAAGGTCAGAAAGTGGATTAGATTATCTCCAACAATCATATTGATATTTATTGACAATCTGAACATAGTCACTTAATTAGAAAGAGATTTTGTATTAAATGATAACTATCTATACAAGTATAATCCTATGATTATGCTGGAAATTAATGTGTTCAGTGTTATATTATCCGAGATTATTTATCAGATACCTACATAGGCACTATGTCAATGGTAATTCCGAAGAACATACGTATTCAAAATCTTATAAGGACCAAAGGTTAGTTTTGTTTACTAACAGATAGAACTTTTATTATACAGTGTAGAGGTGGCTCGGACATGCGTTACGTGTGCCTACTTACTGACTGACTCGACGAGCGATGTTTTGTGATGTAGGAATAGGATCGAAGAATGTTAAGGGTGATCAAACCAAAACATGACACAAATGCATACAGTCACTGACAACTGGATTGAGCCATGTTAGTAGATGTAGACTAACTGGTTGTGGTCCGCGAGATGATAGTAACCGATAGTTCGAGACTTTGAATCATATGGCTCGAAATCGTTTGCATTGACGAAGGTGCATCCATTGTTTATTTATTTATATAACTAGATTGAACTTCTGGAATCATATCTTCGAACGCTAGTCCACTGCATCACTGCTAATACTCCTACTACTTTTGCTACTATGGGATTTGAATTGACAATCCGATCTCTCTGAGCTAAGGTGGTGCGGCAACTTGAACTGATGTACGTATGTACAAAGTTATACGCTGTAGCTGACTGACTGATACATTGTTAAAGTGAGCGACATTACTTTTATAAAGCCACAACAGACATTCGATCGTCCAACTGAAATATTCACACTAATCAAATGCTGATTAGTGTAGCCATTAACGACAGTAGAATGATATAGACATAGTTTACTTCAAGTAAAGGATATTTCGATATAAACGGATAGATTTCGTTAAATTCGCCACAGAATAAAACTACAGATGTGAAATAAATAAAATTGGAACACTTTTTTCGAGAAAAGTAACCAAGAATCGTTAAAGATAAACTTCTGCCTATCCACAGCATTTTCAAAGGAAGAAAATCAATAACACCATTCAGCACTAGAGGAGGAAAAGAACTTGATCTTCAGAATTTAAATTTAAATTAGTTTTCAACATAGATTGTAATCAATTACTAGAGGGGAATGACCAATAAAAATAAAATGTCGATAGACAGCTAATATCGTGATATATAAACATAACAATGAGCAGAAATAACTTATTGCAAAACTCTTAACTCAAGCACATAAATTATTTGATCTTATAACAACTACGTATTTGCTAGTTGAGGTACACTTTATCGTATAATAATGGTTAGAGATATTTTATGAATGAACAAAACAAAGAAAAAATGTAGTGATCATTTAGATTAGCTTAATTTAGAGTAATGAGAGATCTTTTTAAGTACAAAACCAGGTCATTCATTTTGAATAGAAATAGGATGACAACGATAAATGATAAAGATAATAACTGTATAAACATGGCACAGATAATAAATAACTAGACTAGACAATATATGTCTTTGTACTATGTCTCTTACTCATTTATATCATCATACACATCATACAATGTCTCCAACATAAAACAAACAATGCACTGGCTAAAATGCCACCCAAATAAAATTTTTTTAAGAAAAAAAACGATGCAAAAAGACCACCTATGAAAGTGAACTTCAATTGAAAAATAAAAAATAACAAAAGTCAACTTTTTTTTTCTATCTATAAAAGAGATAAGTGACTTTTAGTGATATTATTGTTGATGCTACGTAAAATAAGTTCTGTTTTTTTTTCTTGGATTGCAAAGAAAGTCAAATAAATCTATAAAAAAAACCATATATGAGAAAATAATATATCTGTTTACTGGAATGATTGCTGCTGATCTCCCAGGCACTTCTTAAAGCCACTGACTATTACTACCACTACTACTATTACACAAAAGATGTATGTTAGTTATTTCCATAACTAATTGTAGTTACGCTATAACTAACCAATCAAATTGTGGTTTAAGCGTTCACCACGTGATCTTGTTTGACGTGCCCGTAAACTTTGTTGTAAATGACCTATTAATCGAAGGACATCATTATCTTATTATATTGATGTGACTTATAGTTTTTTTCATTTCCATAAGACACTATGTTTGCTCGTCTCACTTGGCAACTGTAATTTCCTTATTTATTGTACTAGTCTAATTGTTCTTATGTTTAGAAACAGAAAAAGTTTAAAATCAAATTGGTCTTGTTTTGACTATAGCTTTTTCCTATAGACTCTGTGCTCGCCAATATTGCGTTCAAAGTCACAAAATTACATCTGTGGGACAAATTAAATCCTACACAGACTAAACAATAGAAAAAAGACAGTAAATTTAAATATGAACTGTATTCCAAAGTTAGTTACGTACAGAAAATTGTACATATTCATAGTTTCATGGGGTTTTGGCTTTCTAGAAACATAAGAAATACCATCACAATATTGTAATTATTCAATTATAATGTGACACATAATCCTTCATTATTTGGATATCTCTAAGACGTTTATATTTATTAATTATGGAATATCTCCTAGAGGTTTTCTAGATCTTTAAAGGTTTTGACGAGATATATTTAGGGACTCTTCAACAGATAACTATGCAGTAAATAAATTATATATATATTAGACTATTAGGTATTGGAAAAAAGCATAAAAACTTATTGAAAAGCCAAAATTGTTAAAATCACTGTTTCATCCTATTCATGAACTCATTGGCAATCTAAACAAACTTCAGTGAAAATAAAATATTGATGCGTTTGAATCAAATAATTCACTTATTATAGATTTGGTCAATTTATAATATACACTAGTATTATTGTGGTGTGAGCTACTTATAAGTAGTATATGACGTGAGTGTCAACGTAATGTCTGGCAGCAGAAGAGGATGGGGGAATATCAAGAAAGGAAGAGTGGGAACACGATGGAATTTGTATGAAACGCATGAATAGTGACAATGGATTGATGTTTTGCAACAGGAACAGTCCAGTTCGATATGATGAACTGATATTTTGCAAATTAACGATTTACGATATGGTTTTCCGATTTTACTGAGTAACTCTGTAATTTTCGTTAAATACAATTCGGTTGTCCCACCTGTGTTCTCGTTAACTACATTATTAGTCAGTAAGTTCCGCTAACATTTTTTGAACTCGATTTCATTTCTTAGGTCATAAATTCATATCATATTTATTTAAGTAATTTATATTAAATCGAATCACAAGTTCTTATCGATAGGTTACTTGAATACTAATCGATTAATAAAGCTTTTAAAATGAAGTGTATTCTTTAAAATTTTAGCTTCAATTAATTGTAGATATAATTTATAGTTGAAAAATTCAACAACTTCTCATATACAACAGGTATAGTATTACAAAGTCTACAATATTGGAAATTGAACATTGACTATTGTTGCATGCAATTTTTTTTAACGTTTTATTTAAGAAAAAAAACACAGAAAGAAAGTACATTTAAACACAGATTTTACCAATTCAAAAATGAGCATTTAAATTAGCTTAACAGAAATAAATGACCAGAAATAATTGCAAATTTTCTCTTCAAAATAATTCTATTTTATTTCTCTTCTTATTGTTTATTTCATTTTCTTTATTACAAACACTCATTTTTAACTGGACTTTTTTTTCCCTTTTTTTCTTCTTCTCTACTTATCTAAAATTTTAAATTTTTATTCTTTTTTTTTATCACGCAATAATGAATCATATATCAAAAAGAGAAAAATAAAATGGAGAAAACATAAAGAAGAATAAAGAGAACACTACAACAACAACTTTCATTCTTAAAAGTTACATTGAACACAATTAAAATACATTAAAAATAGATCATAAACATGGAAAACAGCGTGTAAAATTGAACTTTATAGATAAGAAAAAAAGATAATAAAAGGAAAAAAATACAATTTTCTATGAGAAAATGTTTTCACATAAATTTATAGATAAAAACATATGTGAAGCGGAAACATTAAGAAATGGGTTGTTTAAAAAATTATCTATCGAATCAAATGAAAACATGAATAGATAATTGGCTTTCTCATTACAAAAAATAACGCAACGCTTATTATTATTATTATTGTTAAAGCAGATCAATTTGAAATATTGTGTTAAACAACTTAACATGTACATTGAATATTGATCAGTTGGCTAATAATTTACAGTTAGAAAAGATGGGATCTAGTAAAATTCAACCTATTAACTAGAATAGTAATCATTGGGTAACAGTTAAACCTTTTAGTCTGATCAATAACTGACA